TAAAAAACTAATAACAGGGACATATTAGGGTTTTTAAGAGTGTGGAGAGGGTTTTTATGGCTTACAAATAATAAAATTAACATATGGTTTCTACTTGATGGATTTTCACCTGTCGCGGGGTCCCAGAGGTTTTATCTGTAATGTGTTTACTTGGTAAGTAGAGTTTAGTGAACAGGATTTACAAAGGGGTTATAAAGAAATGACCTTTGCTTTTTTACAATGACTGTGTTATTTCACCTACATTATAACCACCCTGGTTCTTTTTGGCGGATTAAAATATCTTTACAGAACTATTGTTAGACTTGCTGCAGTTTCTGCGGCCCTCTTGGCCACGTCTCTCTTAAGAAAGACATTTTAATGTCAGTGAGACTTTACAGACTTTAACTGGATAAATAAACACATTTAAAAGTGACTTTGCCAAACACTGATTGCAGCGTCTGCTCACAGGAATAATGTTTGGAGCTCAGATGAACTGATATCATTCATGAGGGAAACATTCAGAGCTCAACTGGTAATGTGGCACCTAACAGCATCCCGTTGGTTCATTTTCATTACTGACACTGGATTGTCCTATGAAATCTCTTTTATGTGACAGACCCCGCCCCTAACTTCGCTGTGCACTCACTCGCAAAAGAAGTGGCGAAAAGATGGAGCTGATAATCTGAGAGAAAACAATAGAAACTAAAAATAGATGCTGAGAATGTGTGGAATGAATGACAGGTTAGCGGCCGTTAGCTGCTGCACCGCGATCAGCAGGAAAAGAAACAACCAGTAACAGCTGGCAACAACCAGTAACAGCTGGCAACAACCAGTAAACGGGCCTCCCAGTCACAGCAGGCTGTAGCTGCTCCAGCTGTGGAGAAGTGAGGAAGAGGCGAGGAAGGTGAAAGTAACGTGGTGAGCAAACAGAATGAAGTGTGTAAAACACAGTCAGGAGTCGAACCCTAAACTTTCAGCTCCACAGGCGAGCAGCGTTAAGACGTCAGCATCCAGCTGCTGGTTTGTTACATCACCCTGTGCCACGTCGAGCAAAAACACCAGCGCGGATTTTTTTGTCCCAGTTCAGCTCAGAATACATCGCATATTGACTGAGAACCTTCACAGACATCGCATATTAAAGGCCAACAAACCACTTTCTGCGGTTTAAATACGGACAAACGCTTTTTCACCAAACACGAGCTTTCTGGCTTCGTGCTTTCCTCTGTTTCACTGAGAGAGGCTGAAACAAACAAACAGCAAAAGTGTAACTCCGACATAATCCGGGGAGTACTGTCCAAAAACAGACCAGCTGTGAGCAAAGAGCAGAAAAATGCAGAAAAACCGTTTACCTCTGAGATAAAGTTGCTCTTCTTCACAGGAGTTTGCTGTCAGAGCACCACAAGAAAACGAGAGTAGCTCCTGCTTCCTGTTTATGTCTCCCAGCTAAGCGACCGTGGTTAACACGCCTGCATGAGTCACTATGTCCCAGAAGCAGCGCACTGCACAGCCACACCCGAGCCCGGCACTTAAACGTCTTCATGAAAAGACACCAGAGGGATTTCTGTTGTTACTATTAAACAAAATGACCTCAACAGACAAAAAGCTTTTTATTTCATGCAAACCTCGCCTGCCTCCAGGAGTCACTTGAGTTAAGTAGAGGATACTCACGGCAGCCTGCTGGCTTTCCTGAGCCTGCCAGGACAAACCTGAAAGGTTGAATAATATAACACAACAACAGTCGCATCAAGGTGCTTCGTACTGTAAGGTAGACCCTACAATAATACATACACAGAAAGTAGCTCACAAGCCTCCATTGCACTGGAGATTTGTGAGCATACTTTTTTTACCATGTTGTGCAAAGCAATGACCAGTAGGACAAAGCACATATTGTCCTCTAGTATAATGAGGAGGGAGAATCAATGTTCAGGAAGATCCAGGGTTAGAAGATA